TTTTTTTTTTTTTTTTCCATTTTACAGAGGCATAAAATGCATCCATCATAAAATGCAATTTCCATTTATTGATCATTACTAATAATAATGATAGTGGGCTTGTCACATAAGCGAGAAGCACTGGTATCTCCAAGGCTTTTTAACAGACATCTTTGAACAAGTAAAATTGGAAGTAGGTATATAAGTGTGCAAAAAAAATATTGATTTTTTTTAACTGAGAATCTCAAAATGTGTCTGATTAAAACTGAATGCTTAAGAAAGTTCCAGCAGAGCACAGAACTTAAGCAGGTATGTGTGTATTTAATTTTGTATATGGGAGTAGCTCCCAGTGGCTTAAAGTTCAGAGTATGCTGAGGGTGAATTGTGGTGAATCAGAAGGGTAATAACACTCCCAGTGATGCGAGTGCTGACTTTGAAAATCAACATAATTATTCCCATGTAACCTTGGGATGGGACAGTTATAAAGATCCCAATTTTAAACCTTCCTAAAGGAATCTAATTAGATTTTAGAGAAAATAAATAATGATGCAAAGAATGAATAAAGGGTTCTCATTTTGTGCTTTCTTTACTATGCATTTATGACTTCAACTTATTACATTACAGCTCCATAATTTTTTCAAGCCACTTACTAAAGCAGTAACACTATTTTTAATTATTATAGGTTTGAAAAAGCTCCATATACTCTGATGCCTCTGAAAACATCTGCATGGTGATCTGACCTATGTCATTAACTTGCAATCCTGCTCTTTTAAGCAATTCATATGAACTTTCTTGAGTGTCCCTGTGTAGACAAGACCTTATTAAAAAAATAAACTATGGAGAAATTTAGCTCTAGAGTAACACAGGCATATTTGTTGCATAGCATGAATATATGAATATTTGAAAAATGTCCTGTCTTCCCTTTATAAAAAGTTAATGATCTCAAGTAATTGCTTACTCAAGGTAAAAATCTTTAGCAAAAACAAATTTAAGAGTGCTTCATTATCTGAGGCCTGAGGAATATCTACAGAGCATCAGTTGCAGAGGGTGTATTGTAATGCTTCATTAATGTTGAGATTATAGCTTTCTTTGAATTTGGAATCTTCCTACTTTAGGCCCTAAAATTTCAAGTGAATGTGAGTTAACTACACTGATGGGTCTACTTCAGTAAGGAAATATATGCACGTTTGAGTTTGGGGACCTCAATTTTCCAAATGGTTATGACTGCATCACATTTTATACACTAAATAGTCCCCCTTGAGAAGTTACTTACAAAGGAAAGTTCAGTGAATACCTACACAGTATCAAAATCAGAGTTTTACTTTGTAGCTAGGCACAATTCAGCAGCTTTTAAATTTGTATGCATTTTGCAAAAGAAACGTGCCAAAGATTTACAGAGAAATGTAGAATACTTTTATCTACTTGTATTTACTTACATATGTATTGATATATATTTATGTAATTGTGTATGTGTCTGCATGTATATGTCCATTTATATATATGTATATGTAAAACACTTGTACACGTATGTTTTCTGACTATTCAAAATAGAAATACCCATGCATCAAGAATATCCAGAAAGATTAAAATCTGGACTTGAATACAGGTGACAGATTTCTGAAACAAAATAAGTATTTTATGTTTTAACATATATTTTAAATAAATCCATACTTCAGCATAATGAGTTGTAACTGTGGAAGGGAGGCACTGGAATACCTCCACACTATTTCAGTATTCTTTGATTTTACTAACGTCCTGTATTTTCTTTCCAGTTCCAAACCTCAGAAAGTCAGTTAGCATAACAACCTGAAACTTAGATCAAACAGCCATTTGGTTTTTTCCAAAGCTATCACTCAAATATTAATTTGTCCTTTAGATAGCTGTCCTTAAAACATTAGTTAGCAGAGATTTCCTAAGAGATTTTTCTTTCAAGCATGTAACATTCCATTGGCAGTCTACAATACTTTAAAATAAAGCCCTTGGGAGTTTTGCTGCCTAGATCTAACCCTGCAAACTATGGCATGCTTGAATATATATCCTAAATATGCAAACATTTGGCTTGGGGGTTTGCAAAATTAGTGACAAATTTTGCAGATACGTATAATGTATTATACCTCTACTAATTCCAAATACTATAATGCTAACCCAAACTATCCTCGGCTTATTTACAGGTTTCTTGACACTTAGAAACAGTCATCTTTGATATTTTAAATTTATAGCACTTTCTTCCTAATCTCAAGCCAAGTTTTATTAAGAGAATTTATATCTTTTCAAAGTCAGGTTAAACAGCCTTAATTAAAAGTCTTCCTTAATTGCATTTGAGACAGATTAATAATTAGATGCCTTTCACGTAGAAGTTAATGCTTTTCTAGTATAACAAACTGAGAACAAATACCTCATTTTGCAATAGACATTCCACTTGACCTCTATATTTCATAATAACTGAAACGAGGTTTCGTCTGGAAATCAGAAAAAAGAGAACATCATCAAATTAATAACAATTGGATGAAGAGAACAGGTTTGCTTTTTTTTCCCCCCTACATTCTATAAATCGGGAATAGTTTAACTGACAATGATTTTATGTTGGTATTAAATAAGGACAAGTGCTTACATAGTTGTCATGTAACTGAGCCTGGATCTCCATGGTTTTTTGGTAGTCATTTGCCACAAAGCATAGATGTAAAAATCTTCTACTTATACTTGGAGGACATACATTTCCCAAGTGAAAGAACTCCAGTGATTTACTATTTCAGTGTCTATTGAACTCCAAATCCCGTTTATTTTACTCTTTAAGGTTAAGCAAGTGCTTACATATTACCTTGAAGAAGGATGGACTTAAGTACATGCTACAATGCCTTCTTTCTCAATCACTTCATAGACTAAAGCTGCAGAGAATCAGGCAAACCATCTGCAAAACCTCTGGAAAAGCTCTATGTTTCAAAAGTCCATACTAAGTCACAAGTATAAAACTGCATATTATAAAAGGGGACGCCATTGCTACATAATTCATTAAACTTTATTTGCTTACAGTTCTCAAATGCATACAGTGCTCAAACTGTTTCAGCAACTGCCTTTTCCATAGTATTACCTAAGCTGTGAATTTGTTTTACTTCAGTAGATAGACATATACCACTCTCTAGTCCCATGCCTTTTCATGCTACGGAAGTTACCACAGAGTTTGTACAGGCAGATCGCTGTGCCTTAGGCAAAGCTTCGCTAAATTAATTGGGATTATGAACAGAAGTATATACTTCTCTACACTGAACTCCAGGACTGATGTTTCAGCTGTAAATCTCACCATTTTAGAGCCACAGGCTCCAAGTGCTATCCCCAACAGATGACCAGAATCCAAGTTTTGCTTTTAAGAAGCATTTGTGTAGTTTTCTTGTGTTTCAAGCACAGTGAAATTCTAGCTGTCATTTATTTGTCAGCTGGGAAAACACAAAAAAGGTGCCTATGAGACCAAGGTTACGGTTGTTACACACAGGAATATAATTTCCTTTTCCTTTGACAGCCTCCTCTGTAGGGTCAAATCTTCAGGAAAGGGTATGGAAACCTTAATTACCACTTCCACACCCTGCCTGGCCTACTGATTGGTAAAATGGACACCTTATTGCCGTGGTGGTCCTCAGTGGTAGTTAGGGTTTGCATGTGCTTTTACGAAAAAGTGGAAACTTCATAGTATATTATTTCTTCAGTGTTTGTTTACCCTATCATTTTATCCTTGACTTTTTTTCCCCTCTTATATTTCTCACTGACCCTTTGAATTAAGGTTCTCTCTCTTTAGAAGGCTTAGAAGGAATTCCTCCCCCCTCACCACCACCCCCAAGCAGTCTGATAACTGAAAGTCACAGAAGTATTTTGATTGCTTCAGAGCAAACGGACTATTGTTCATAGAGGAATTGTGTGTGTCTTAGTTGGGCTAACTGAGCAATCAGAGATTAGGGTTGCAACTACGGTCCAAAGCACAAGTTTCATGGTACGCGGTTAGACTTTCATCATATACATTGTATGGCAAGAGAAGGAAAGACAGTCATTGCACTAAAATCATCGTACAGAACAGAGAAAGGTGGCCTTCCCTGTGCTAAAACCAGAGCACATTTCCCCGTAGATGCCTACTATTTGCCTACTCCTACAGATGGTTTTGCCTTTACAGCTTTTTATTTCCAATCTGCACTTCCCTTATCTAGCCAGGCAGTTTGTGTGTTGAGTAGCTGTCTGGCAATTCCTTCTGTAATCCTGTTAAATCATAGCTAACACAAGTTGTCACTCTGCTTTGACCAAGTCTTCAGGCATAACATCTTTTTCATAGCATTACCCTGCTCAAAAGTAGTTCTGGGCATATGAGCTTGCTTTGTTGCCTTGATGCATACAGGTAAGCATGTTCATTAGCATGCCTGGCCTAAATGCAGGTTTCAGAATAATTTCATAAATTATAATACTAGTTCAAAATATTAGCATATTTTCTATCAGTTTATTCTATCCTAGAGAATTTTCTGTATAAAGTAGCCATGATTTTACATAATTAATAGGAAACAAATCCAGCAACTTGTAACAGTGATCGAAATACCTCTACTAATGCTATCCTGAATCTCTGGCTGCTAGATAACTAATAAATAATACCCATATGTTATCTCACAGACATACATCATACTTTTACATCTTTGATAGCTGTGTATAAACATGGCAAAGCTGACCAAACCATGAGCATTCAGTATTCCTTTGACACCGAGGCAATTTCTGGATCTTTTAGCAAGGCAATATAGTACAATAACTTTGAAAAGAAAAGAAAAGTACAAACAACTTGAGAGTCAGTCTTAGATCCCAGCTGGTCGATATGGGAGGAAGACAACAAGTATATAGCATATACTTCCAGCATTCATTTTTCAGTTACCTGGCAGCAGCACCTACTGTGGAGCAATGCTATGTTTCCTTTCTAAAATGCTGTTTATCACCATGCTGCCTACCTAAGCAGTGCCTAACTGCATGGATCAGACTAGCCATCATGTTAGAGTTACTGGCACCTCAGTGTCAGAGATTATGGGCCAGCAGACTGCAGCTCTTCTGATGTACTCATTGATTTACATTGTGTTTGGTTTTCAAGCTATGAAAATCAGTGCATGAAGCGATGCAGAGGCTGACGGTTTTATTTGTTCACATTTGCTTGTGAGAGCAAATCTGATTATTACAGAGGTAAGGTTCCAGTTCATTCTTTTTAATTCATCTCAAGCCAGTCCAAACAGTTCTTTTTCCTCCTCTTCTAGATTTAAGCAGAGTAAGCATCTCAGTCAACAGATTCTCTAAAATACAAATGTTTGTATGCTACAATCAGAAATGTAACTACAGTACCAGCAGACAACCCTGAGAATTATTTTATTTAGCTAATCTGAATACTTACAGCTGTGAAGACACAGCAATATGGGAAAGTAATCTGCTGGCCTTCCTAGGTGCCATGCAGATTTGCACAGCCTGTGTTGAGCCCATTCTACTGCACCTCCATTCCACTGCATTCATCTACTCCTTCTCCATAACAGCCCTAGCTAGACATAAAATCAAGGAATTATAACATGTTGCAAACATATATCCCAGTGCAGAATAAGCACAAAGATGTTGTTTCATGTTATGCTAGAAACAGCTTTTTTGACCAAATGTGATATTATTGACTGGCCTACTCACAAGAAAATACCAGGGTGGTGCTGCTTACAAGAATAAGGGCTTTTCTGCACTGTATGGCATGAAGTCTAGTTGGAGGCTGCTAGGTGTATCCCAGGGGTCAGTTCTGGGTCCAGTACTATTTAACATCTTCCTTAATGATCTGGATGGTTGGGTAGAGTATACCCTCAGCAAGTTTGCTGATGACACAGAACTGGGACACACCAAATGGTCATACTACCATCCAGAGGGATGTTGACAGGCTGGAGAAATGGGCTGACAGGAACCTTGTGAAGTTCAGCAAAAGGAAGTGCAAAGTCCTGCATCTGGAGAGGACTAACCCCATGCACCTGTACATGCTGGGGGCTGACTGTCCGGAAAGTAGCCTTGCAGAAAAGGACCTGTCAGTCCTTGTTGACAGGAAACTGAACGTGAACCAACAATGTGCCCTTGCAGCAAAAAACACTAAAGGTGGCTAAAAGTGTCCTGGGCTGCATCAGGAGTAGTGTTAACAGCAGGTTGAAGGAGGTGATCTTTTCCCTCTTACTCAGCGCTGGTGAGGCCACACTGGGCGTACTGTGTCCGGTTCTGGGCTCCTCAGCACAAGAGAGATATGGATGTACCAAAGCGCCATAGAGCTGGGACTGTTTAGTCTAGAGAAGAGAAAGCTCAGGGGGGATCTTCTTGATGTATATAAACACCTGAAGGGAGAGTGCAAAGACGATGGAGACAGGCTCTTTTCAGTGATACCAGGTGCCAGGACAAGAGGCAATGGGCACAAACTGACCACACAGGAAGTTCCAAGGTGACTGAGCGCTGGCACAAGTTGCCCAGAGAGGTTATGGCGTCTCTCTCCTTGGAGACATTCAGAAACCATCTGGACACAGTCCTGGGTAAGCCAGGCTGTGTCCAGACATTACTTAATTAGGTCTTATAAAAAGAAATACTCTTGTCTGTTTTGAATCTGCTACTTTTGCTTCATATTCCCTTTATCCTGCATTGGAAGATACAGTAAACGATCCTTTTCTGCAGACATTCTCTGTACTCCTCAATTTCATAGACTTGTCATCTATAAAATACCCATCTTCTATTATCTCTTCATCAGGATGAAGAATATTGTTACTTATTTGTTTCTCATATGGAAGGCATCTCATTCCTCTGAGCATCCTTGCTGCCCTCCGTTTCACTTTTTCAAGTTCTATTACATCATATTTGAAATGGGCGAAGCAGATCTGCTGGCCGTATTCAAGATAAATGAACACCCTACACTGATACTCTGGCATAATATTGTTTTTCAGTTTTTCATTTCTTTCATGATAATTCTCAACATTTGTTTTATCTTTTTTGCAGCTGCTGTGGCAAGCTGACATTCAGAACTATTTATTATAACACCAAGAACTCACTCCTGGTGGTAAAAGTCAACTCAGAGCCTATGATTTCATATGTGAATTTAAGACTGTTTCCTCCCATCTACACTTATCTTCCCAAAATTTCATCTGCCACTTTATCACACACTCAACTCAGCATCATAAAAATCCTTCTGCAAATCATCACAGACATCTCCTGTGCATATTATGGACAGCAAACTTTTGTCACTTGGCTACTACCCCTTTTTTTTCTCAGATAAGTTAGAAATGCAATTGATAGCACAGGGCCTGACCACAGATCTTTCTGGGTCATCACTGCTGGAAAACATTTTTTCCTACCCGTCAAGCAGGAAACAGTGATCAAATACAGTTCAAGCTTTTACTTTTTCAATATTTACTGAACTTGCGGTTCAAGAAAGAAAGTATTTATTGCCTATGCTATCAGCTATTCATTGCCCTACAGTATCAGAGGAAATTTGATGGACCATAGCTGATTTGCAGCTCAACATCTTTTATCACATATCTCCTCTGAAGACTCTCTTTGCAGTGGAAAAGGCCACATGCCTTACATCACAAGAAATAAAACAGTCAATAAGCAGTGTGTGTATAGACTGTATGATTGGTTTGATCTCTTTATACCAAGGACCAGAATGGAAATTTGGGCCATGCTCCTAGGAAACCAGATGGGTCCTCAGTAAGCACCAGATATTCACCTTGAACAAGTCACTAACTCTCTGTTTCCCTCCATCTGCTAAATGACAGGTGTGGCATTTACCGTTCTTGGCAAAGTACTTTATAACACATTGATGAAAAACATTACAAAAAGTGTTAACAGCTTCTTTATCTAAGTGCATGAAATGGAACATAATGAAAGTTGAATGAGGAATCTATCTCATTTAGTGCTTGCCCATGGTAGGTTAGCTTTAGAGTCATATGTGTTCTGAGTGCCAAGTTAAAAACTCATCATAGCTGGCCTCCATTAAAAAAAAAAAAAAAAACCAAAACATAACTCAACTGTGAAAACACAGGCATAACAAAAAGCAAATCTATTATTTTTACAACATTAACTCTTAAAAATTCTCTAAGAGCAACACATACATGAAAATTATGAGTCCTTCAATTCTGGGAATCTTTGGGAAACATGAAAGCTCTAATGAAACCTTCCGTCACATGAAAGGGGGAGAACAGGGAAAAATCGCACAGATCTATAAATGATTATTGATTTTACTAAGCAATCAATAAGGTCTGAAAATAAGTGTCTAAAACAATGAACTAATTTTCTTTCTCTTTGGTATCATTCCTGTCCTCAGTAAGTCTCGGAATTGTCCTTTGGGGCCAGGAGGCTCACTACAAATATGAACAACTACACACAGAAGTACTGTTAAATACCAGTGTTCTTACAGAGTCAGTCTCCAGGCACAAGTGTCTTCTAACAGCTGATCCACACCGAACCGTCTTTGGTCATCCTCATGCTGTGGAAGAGAAGCATATAGTGAGAGATACTATTCTGATAGGAAGAATGTATGTGGGGGAGATTTGCTTGATATTTTCAGCATGTTCTTTTAGGAACTCTCCTTTCAGAGTGTTCAGGATGTTTCAGTCTGAAATTTCATTTGGTGAATCTCTCTCAAGTTACACTGGGTTGTACTATACAGGAGGCCAAACCAGATTGTCACAGTAGTTCTTTCTAGCTACATGTAGATTAAGACTACGGTCAGGCCTCAGTAAACCCCGCTCTGCTTTCTTGTTACTGACAGCAGAAGGCACCCTTTTGCCAAGGCAACATACACTAGTCATGAAGCAGAAAACAGTTTGCATCCACAACCTCTCTGCTACTTCCTTTTCTGAGAAAACAGAATGGAGAACATCTGTAGCATCCTTTGCAACCCCTCTAAAGGGACTTCTTGCAGTGAAGAGTCACAGAGATGATCAAGGCACTAAAGCATTTTCTTTGTATGAGGAGAGGCTGAGCTGGGACTGGTCAGTCTGAAGAAGGGAAAGCTCAGGAGGAATCTTAACCAATGCGCACAAATATCTGATGGGGAATAATGAAGACAAGGGAGTCAGACTCTTTTCAGTAGTGCTTGCTGACAGGACAAGAGGCAAGGGGCAGAAATTAAAACACATGAAATTCCACCTTAACACAAGAAAAAAAAATATTGCGAAGGTAGTCAAACACAGGAAGAGGTTGCCCTGAAAGGTTGTGGAGTAGGTTTGAATATCTGCTGAGATATTAAAAGCTTGACCAGACACAGTCCTGGACAAGCTGCTCCAGCTGACTGTGCTTGAGCAGGGGGATTGGACTAGATGATCCCTTGAGGATCCTTCCAGCCTAAACAATTATGTGATTTTGCCTTATTTAGCACATTCTGCTGACCAAACCTGTTCCCATTCAGATATAGTCCTTTCTCCAGCCCTATGGATTTGTTGTCTTTGATGCCTTAACTCCTCCCACCCCATGGAGGCAGCTCAGCCTATGCTAGGCATGTACTGTCAGCTTGTAGGCACCACCAGGTCCTGAAATTCTGCCATTTTTCTGACTCATGGTTGAGCCCATATCTCTATAATTCATATACAAAAGTTACTGAGGGGCTTGTGAGAAGCATGACCCCAGATTCCCTGGTCAAGGATTACAAAGGGAATGATACTTACAAACAGGTTTAACCCTGGGAGTGGTGGGACGATGAGAAAGAAAAGAATTAAATAAGAAAACAGAAGCAGGAGAGCAGCACAGCACATTGGAATCTAGTGGTGATGGATGAGCTTCTGTTTCCATAGTGGCTAGGACAGCTGCCAGACATTATTTTTCTTAGTATCTCTAGAAATACAAATGATGGCTGGGATGGGCACAGTGGAGGCAAGCAGGATACAGCCCATTTATTTACCTGTGTACTGATCTAAAAATATTTGTTTTCCCAAAGGTGAAGCAGAGGACAGAAATTATATCTGGCCAAGAATACAGAAGAATCTGAAAGGTTACCCCATTTTAGGCTGGACTAAACTAATGAAACTTTCAAGTTCTTTGTGAAGGGAAGAAAAAATGGTTTAACCTTTAAGCAAAACATTTCAGAAAGAAAAAAAAAATATCCTTTGTTCATCTTTTACTGTTATAACTTTCATACAATAAACAAAATTTTTTAAAAAAGAGAACAGCATAATCCAACAGTGATGAAATAGGATTCATGACTTTTTTTCTCCCTCTTAAATAGAATTTGAAAGAAAATGTGTATTTTCTAAAGAAAAAACCTAGTCTTTTACTTGTTTGGCTAAAAAATCCTTCTCCTAATATATTTTGAATGCTGGCAAATTCAAATACTGAATGCTTGTTCAGAATAAGGTGACCACAGTAGCAATTTTTTCTCGTTAGTTGAAGTAAATTAGTGGTCTAAAGCTAACATTCCTGAGCAACTTGTCTCTCTCCTATGGTTGTATTCAGTTTAAATATGTTAATTGACATTAGATCACTATATGGAGATTTAGCAATAGCACCATTTAAGGAGCAGGAACTTGCTGAGCTAGAAACATTACAGATGTTGTGTAAAGAATTCCCATCTGGAGCACTACTATCTCTTTTATCACATAGTGACAATAAGCAAAAGATGAATTAGATGAATTAAATGGAAGGGGATGAAGGTAAGAAAAACATTCTCAAGCATTAAGCCTTGAATATATGTGGCTTAGACCTAAACACTAAGCTCCACTTTATCCGGGCATTTGATCTTACACAAACACCTGTGTTGCTTATCTCAGTGTATTGACACGAGAGCGTTAAATGTTATTACAGAGGTGAAGATAGGGTAAGTATTTAGGGGTTAGGGGATGCATTTGAGAGTAGATGGTATTTTCTCAGGTAATTTCAGAATCTGCCTCTGAACCTCACCAAGTTGCTCCTACAAAAATGTTTACAAGACATACAAAAATAGCTTATGAATGACAATTTCCTGAGTGCAGCAGTAATTGTGCTACATGTGGCTCTGACCTAATAACTGCTGGGTTTGCTCATAATTCAGGTCTTCTGCCCATACCATAACCTGAGGCTTGGAGCACCTGACCTCTGGAAAGCTATCATGCTGCTTCAAGGCATGCTAGAGGACTGGTATAACATCTCAAGCCTTGAGAATATTTCGTAGTGCTACCATAACCAGAAGCATGCCTTCCAGGAAGGAAATAGCACCAAGCACTCCATAGCTGCTTGCTATAATATCATTATTTGAATTTGCTACTTCTAGCCAATCACATCCATCTTGACTCTCAGTAGATCGCATCCTTTTGTTTTTTATTATTATTTTTAAAGTCACATTACCCTCCAGCTGAGTATTGTACATGTTCTGCAAAATCCACCCTGCATTTTTATGATGTCACTGCGTGCTTAGCTGTCACACTGCCACCTCTGGAGACCTTACAAAGAGCAGAGCACATCTGACCTGAGCAACCACAGGGACAAGGCTTGAGCTACAGAACAAGACTGATAAATGACAAAATTCCTCCTTGATCTCATGCACTGACAGGACTAGAGGACAGGGAGAGATGAACTCGGAAACAGTGTGACACAGACTGAAGGAAGGAGCCCTGAAGCTTAGAGAGAAATTAGATATGTGTGACTGATAGGAACCCAGAAGCTTAAGGGGATCTGAGGGACTAGGGCAAAAGTTGGATGTATATGAATTATTTAGCACCTGAATACATATGGGTGATGATTATATAGAAGGGCTGTCAAGATATGAATATGTTTCTGTGACACTAGTTAAATTACAAGCTTAGTGGAGATTTCTATAAAATAACACATTCCAAAGTTCAAAATCTGGAAGGATCCTATAGATCACACGTCAAATTTTCCCCATGAGTGAGTGCAGATTAACTCACCAAAATAAACAGTAGCTGCATATGTACATAACTGTGTGAGACATCTGAAGAATCTTAAAAGTCTCAAAGTTTGTACCTTTTTTTTTTTAAAAAAAAAAAAAAAGGCACACTATTTTCACATCTTTTTATAAGAATTCTGAGGGAAGGAAATTTATTTTCCATAAACTGCTTCTAAGTCTGTGACTTTCAAGTACATTTTACAACCAAAGCTGCAAGTTTCAGAGAACAGCAACAACAAAATTGACTAAGCTGTGTAGACTACCTCGGATCCTTGAATTCAGTGTGGCTGGAGGTTTCAGTAGACCCAGACAGATCTACAGAACTGGGTCCAGAGTGAAAGGAAACACTGCAGCTTTCAATGCACCAGTCTGTGTCCCCTCTGTTAGGCTTCTTCTGGTCCTGACAGACTTGCTGGTGCTCCTGCCCAAGAGCAGAACCTCCCCTTTCCGATACGACTGCTCGGCCACAAGCATGCCCTGGAGCTGGAGGAAAACTCTGGATCTATGACTTACGCCAGCTCAAGTGTTGCTCATGTTCTTTGCTATTATTAGCAATCTGAAGTTACTTCATGGCCTGAAGCTTTCAGAGCTACGTCAGTTACCGTAAAGGGGGTGATCAATAATTCACTTGAAGATATCTTAAAGTGTTACCCTTCACAGTTAAACCCTATTATAGGCTATTAATTATAGTTCCACAAATTCTTTGAGACAATAAATATTTTCTAATGGCCTGAACACTGCTAATTTGTCTTCCAAGCTTGTTAGTTACCTGCCTGAAAGACTATTTTTGTTTGTTTGTAACCATTCTACCTAGTAATTGTAACAATTTCCAAAATGTGAAACGCCAAGAGATGCTCAGTCTCTGCTCCTGGCCTCTAACTGTGTGTTGCAGTACATTAAACCTCATTCAGACCTGTCAAACTGCAACAGAGTTGAAGACTACTTTGAGGATATTAATAGAACATGAAGCATTTGACAGTAGCACAATTTCAAGCGATACTTAAACACAAGAAAAGGCTCCCTTCCATTTGAGGTACTACACAATCCCTCTAGAAAGTCACGAACATTTAAATAATGGAAAAAAACCCCACCTTGTTATCATGATGGATCACTGACTTTTCTCATTTGTGATTTATGCTCAGACTGTTAACACTTAGCTCATTATGTCTGGTAAAATATTAAGACCATTAACACTGGTATATATGAAAATAAAGACGTTTTTGAGCTTTCAGGAAATACTGCTTTCTGTCTGCTTTAGTCCAAAAATCCCTTTCTGGAAGCAAGTGAGGTGCTTGTTAGAAACCCATAAGTGTTCTTTGCTGCTTCTCCACTGCGAAGATTCACACCTTGCCCAGATAATCAGTGCGTGGGGACAACTCTGAACAAATGGGTCTCTTGGGTAGGCAGAGCACTCCCTGGTATCTGGATATCTGGATAAAGGTTTCTGTCCACTGTGTATTTCTTCCTAAACACCACCCAGCCATTAGGAATTTGACAATTCCGACCCACTACAACTTGTAGAGTTTGTGCTTAAGAGTTGCCTCTTAAAGAACACCTAGGTTAAAATACAGAGTGGGACAGGTGTGTAGTCAAAACAAATCTAGCAGTCATTATTCAGTATTATTGTAACTCACGTACATTGGGCCACCATGTGGCAAGAGGAATATTGGATTTTCTCCACATTCATTGTCATTCTCAAGACTTCAGTGTGTGGAGAAAAACCTGCAAAGTGCAGAATTCCCACTCCTGTCACCAGAAGCTCTTTGTCTGGCTAGACAGTATAAAACTGAGCTTCAAATGTTTCTGTATTATGATATTAAGTTACATTCTCTGCATAAGCTTTATTTGGAAGTTTAGTAGGAATCTAGCACATTGAAAATTTGGGTCTTAAAAGATTTTTGTCCAAGAGTGTTAGGGCTGATAAATCTTATGTTTCAGAAAACCAAAATCAAATTAAAGGTCACCCACCACCTGAAAGACCTGTGATTCCATGTAAAGCCCCAGGCCACATTTTTTGTTTGTAACTGCTCAGCTCAAGACAATTTCCTCTTTCATAACAGAATGTCAGCTTCACACAAAAGGAAAGGAAGCAAGTATTTACCTTAAAAAAATATGTTTTTCAGCTGAATTCACAAAAGAATTGTGAACATGTAGTTATTGGCCACAGTTCATAAGCTGTCTTTTTTTTAAAAAAAAACCCAACTAGTTGCACATTACTTGTAAGTATCCACTTATACTGGTTATTAAGCATAATAATAAAATACTAGTAATTTACATGTACAGACAGATATTTTTAACTATGCATCCCGATTTCAACAGTGTTATGTAAGGTAAGCAAGAATCATGAAGGCAGTCTCCAGATGGCATTGGTATAGAATTTTACTTCCTTAGGACACAAACAAGTTTTAAAGCTTCAGAAGAGACTCCTGAACATATCATTAGGTTCCAAAGCGATATTTTTGAAGATCTATAATAACAGTAGATCTGTACACAGCAAATAAGTCATTTGCCCTATATTTCAGTTATTCTATTTGAAGAAAGAATAACTTGTAGACAATCAATCATTGGCTTGGAAGTTTGAAGAGGAGATTGTCAGGAAGTTGTTTAAGGCTTCCTCTTTTTAGTATATGCATGTAAAAAATACCTTCACCACATGGTATATGTGTATAAGTAGTAAAATGCATTTGTATCAAACTTCTAATTCATGTCACTGATTTCTCACGCCAGAAAATGTTGGAAACCTCCAACTGCCCAGCAGAAGGGTCAATAATATATCATTCCATTTAAAAGACAGAGATGCTGACCTAAAAAAGGTGTATAATTTTTCCACCATTACACATACTTACATGCGTCCAAAGTTTTAGCTAATCACCAACACTCCACTTTTCTCAAGCCCTTCTTTGGCAGCGCTATATGGAAAAATTGGGTTTTCTATCTCCTAACACAGGATGTCTTGTCACAGATCTAACATCAGAAAGGACTATGATGACCATCTAATCTCTGTTTACATCAGGCAATGGAAATCACATGGTGATTCCTGCCTGGATCTCCATAACTTGCAGTTAAATGACAACAAGGTACCACAGATACTTTCCCAAGACAAAACTCATTCCAGTGGTCACTGGATGTGTTCTTGCTTCTGTAATAGGGGGATGGGATGACAAAGGACACATGAGATGGACAGTTGCTTACCCCCTTCTGAAGGCATATTCAAACAACAACTTATTTTCTCTAGACTGAGAGCAAGCAGTTGGAAATTCATTCATCTGGATCATTTTTGGAGAAGTGACCTGGTGATTAAAGCTTCCATGTTTCATAATTTACTTTCTTTTGGATGATGCTACACCAAAGAAGAATCAATGTTTTTTTAAAAAATAAATAATTAAGTGAATAATATTGGCAGTGAAGAATGCCAACAATTTAAGCCAGGATTGTACATACCAGCAGTAAATTATTCTGCTTTTATCTATAAACTGGTTAAAATGTTAAAAATATATATATATTTGGCCTCATTATAGTCCTTCTTTAATGCTTCAGGTAACATACTATATTGAACTTGATGCTTCACATGGTGACACATAACAGAATGAAAAAAAGCCTCTACCCTTTTTTGTTAGAAATCTGCCATCTGACCCATATATTGACAGGCTGATAGCATACCCATGCAAAGCAGGTAATTGGTACTATCTGTGAACAGAGTCAACACAATGACAGTAAACACTGCCCAGAACAAAGCTTCTGCTGTACTGCAAATTTTGGGTTGGAAGTTATTTGAGGTGGTCCACTGGGAATAAAAATCACATTTAGTAGTGTAGGAAGGTGTCATTAAAGCTCAGTAATCCCCTGCAAGGTTGCTTAAACTCAAATAATCTGAAGAGGAATCTCCCTGGATTTAAGATGATGATAAAACAATATTTTCTCTAAGGACTACATGTCCTTACAGACAACATTTCTGCATGCCTATGAACAAACACATACACACACGCACACAGAGTATGCATCCCACATGCACAAACACACCAAATGCGATTCTGGCTTTTATCAGCCTACCCCGGTTTTCAGTGATAATGACAAGAATCCAGATCTAATTCATTTTACATGGTACTTTGAGTGGTTTTGCCCTTGTTATATTTCAAAACATAGAAAGACCAATCAAAAACAAGAATCCTCTGACGACCTGAAATAAATAGCATTAAATTCTGTCAAAAGTGTTTTTTTTTCTAAAAAGGTAACCTTTGGTCTTTTTTAGTTGTATGTTCTCTACAGTAACTCACTCGATGTAAGTACAGGAGCAAAGCAGAGACGTTCCCCAGTACATTTCAACTAGAGTTCAGCAATAATATATGCATTCTCGGAAAAGCAAATAAACTGTCTTTGATTATTACTGTAGATTACTACATAAAAGGATTGGTGGAATTTTATTCCTTCAGGGATGCTTGAAAGAAAGGGGAGGAAAAAAAGACGACATACCGTTCGAGCCAAATTTTGCTTCAAATTACTAGCGTTGTGTAGTCGAAGCTGAATGCAGGTGGTTGCCTTGCGAAGACTTTCATGGCTGCCCAAAGTATGATTACTGCAGTTTGGGGGAAGAAAAAAAAAAAGTTATCTCTGCTTTCCACGTACTTTTTTTTTTTCTTCTCTCCTTCTCCTAAAAGCACCAGTGAACTAAATTCTAAGTACAAAGCAGACTGAATAATATAAAACCTGTACTTGGCACTTACTTCCACGAAAACTGATGGGAATATTTTCTGGTGAAACAATTTAAGAATAACTGCTTAGTTGTATCTTTCAACATTAAGTTCTGTAATAGAACAACAGTGAAACAGAGAAATAATACCCTAAGCAAACCGCATGTGCTCCCAAACTTTGAGATTATTCATGCATATTCTTCAAATGCAAATTAGTGCAATTTATACAAAGTATCTTGGTTATGAATGCACCACTGCAGAATGACTTTGCAGTGTTTGATACCCAACTTGAAAAATCAAATATGAGCTGTAATTTTGAAAATCAAAGAGAGTAAGACAGGTGGCCCTTGATTCTCAAAGAAATCAAAGGTCCACCCTGTGCAGCTCACACAGAGATGGTGAAAGAAGCTGTGAGTCGGTCTTCCTCCTTCTCAAATCATATGCCAGCTAAGGTCAGACACAGACTTCTACACACGCAGCTGGAGTGGTTCTTACAAACTACTCTGATGATTAAGGATGTTGTAGCACCCCATGACAGGGGAACTCCTTACTCTTATTTGCCACTTCAGAGTAGTTTATAGTCCACTTATCACTCTTGACAACTTCTAACTTATAATACAGCCTTAGTTTATGACTCTTTCAAAATTACTCGGAACAAAAAGAATTTCAGTGTTTCCCTTCCACTTTTTGTTTTAATCAGGGGAAATAATGCAAAAATTATTTCAGAGTTAAGGCAAACATCTTTTTACATTTAAAAAAATCCTTTGGGATTATGGGTAGGAAAAATTATACCGATTTTTGCAAAGGCAAATTCATCACCAAAACAAGTTAATATGCATCATCAGTTACAACTCTAGTGCATGTTCAATTAGATTCATATTGCTTTTTTCAAGCCTCCAGCCACACAAGTGCCAAAAGGGATATTCCATATTTATACAGATCTACAGCACAGTAAGTTGTTTCAGAACTCCCTGGGCCATGAAGGAAAGATGATTCTTTTCTGGTTTGTCAAGTGCCATGGAAAACTCAGAATTCAGATGTAAACTGTGCTTCTTTCTACCTAAAAGGGCTTTTGATGGAATGTCTGAATAAAACTGGCTAGATTTAGTTCCAAAAAACCCGCTTGCCCTATGAATAAATCATGGAATGTGTGACTTAAGGGAGAGTCTCGTATCTCATATGGCAGCAGAGGTACCCAGCACAAATGAACGGTTAAACTTAAATAAATGTGCTGTATATAATTGCCATTCAGCACAATTACAAGGAATTCATATATCTTGTAACCATTCTGCACCTACACTATACTGCAGTTAAGTAAAATACATACTCTCCATTAGAGGTCACAAAAGGTCTAAGTGTAGATATAGGATTTTTTTTTTTAAAACAAATACATTAAAGGTCACAGAGGACAAACCCATTTCTATCTGACATAACAAATACCTAAGGGAAGGTCCTCTGATAGCACTTCCATACATTTGCAAAATTCCTTGATTTTAAGAGCATAAAGCACAGATGTAAGAGTGAGAGAAGTTAACACCAACACAGTGCAACACCTGTACTGGTGGAAAGTGTATCACTGTTATGCCTCAACCCTCCTCAATCCCTTTACAAGCAAAAGTCCAAGTGACTGATTCCCAGTTCCTGGGACTGTACCAGCGCACAGAATCTCTTCTGTTGCTCCTCGGCTCGTATCTGTGTTGTGCTTACCCACGGCTGTCTTGAAACTTCCTCCTCTCCTCATTTCACCTAATCACATCTGCCTCATGACTCTTAACAATGACCTCTCCCGTGATCCTTGCTTCCTTTAGAACTGCCTCACACCGGGTTTTTACCTTTTTCCTCACCATTATTCCAGCTCTTTCCATTCTGCCTTACCTTCAACCTTAGCACAGGCACAGTAACAAGAGAATTACAAAGAAACACACCTGAGAGTCCTGAGTCACTTTTTTCCCTGATTCCTCCACTATTCAGATTCCTATTGCAATCCCAACATCACACCAAGCCAATGACAGAAATTGGTACAGCTATACCAAGACAGAGAAGCATTCTGCTAGTGTAAATTTGTATAGCTATACCCTCCTCTGTAGTTACAATTTTGTACCACAGATGTATAAAAACTATCTTTTGCCAGTATAACTATTCCATGTCATCATGCTTCCAGACGAAGCAAGCTACACCAACAGAAGTTGAATTTTGTGGTTATAACTACATTTACACTAGTGGTTTGTGTTAGCTCTGCTGTGTCAGGGAGATCCTATACATCATCACATCCTTTATTGACATAGCAATGCTGCCTGAAACACTGCAGTCAGAAGTACTGGCCATACAGTTGACTTCATGAGTGGATTTTATTTGCACAAATACAAAGAGAAAAGTTTTGACAGGTACTGTGGCACAAGAGGCTAGACAAAATGGATTAATGCCTCAATAAAATAATGTGGAAACCTGGTCTAGATAAAAAGTGAACTGCAAGAAACGGAGGTGTAGCTTTGCCACAGGCTGACAGACTGCCTTTTAGCCGTACCCCAGATTGTAACACACAATGCAGATCTCCTACTACACCTGTATGATTAAGATAAAATTAATATAGTCCTCTTTGGAGGACAACATGATATTAGTAACTGATTTACAGTGCTCTGAGCTCTATAAAGGAAAGACAAATAAAATTGCTACAACATTATTAACTCAACAGTTTTCCCCCTATTTTTGCTGGAATTACTATGTGGAGAATACAGCTTTGATGAGAATGCCACGACAAAAAACATAACGCAAAAGGCAATCTTTGTAAGAGACATGGTAATGAACTGGTCAAAGTAAAGTGACTTGCCTATGGTCCCACAATACATCAGAAGCACAGAAAGGGAAAAATCCTTCAGTCTCTTGAGAATTCCTCACCACTAGATAATTTTGCTTCCCCACATCAAGGTTCTCTGATGTACTATAAGCTCTAAATCCTAATGCAGTTCAATCAGACTTTTTTTTTTTAAAAAAGGACTCAGCTGAGCAGCATCTCTGAATGAGAAACTTAATCTGCAGTGACAAGAGAAAATTAAGTTTATTTTTTTACAAGGAACATATTCATCCAAAAGGTGTTTGCTTCTTACGATCCCAATCTGCATGAATATAACTCTACCCAGTGTATAATTAATAGCTTAAACTTCACTTTGAGTGAAAACCAATTCTTATTTAGATCTCAATTCTCAGAGAGGAGAATTAGTAAGGCAAAAAAATGTCATCTATAAGGTCACAGGCAAGCATGTGAGCATAAATGATAAGCATTTAGACTTTTCTATTCTATACCCCTACTCACAATGCTGGCTAAACTGCAAAGCAGTAAGGTAACTGTGCAAATTACACCATGGTAGAGTGTGGATGGAATTAAAAATTCACACAAAAAGATCCTTTAAAAAATCTGATGCCTTAAAAAAAATTAAAAGGCATGTGTAGAAATAAAGCTTATAAATATCCTTTGACTACATTCCTTTGCTGGGTCTGCATTACTGCAACCTCTTGCTAACAGACAGATCAATAAAAAAATAAAATAATTTAAAAAGAGAGCAATCCATATTCTTATATACAGTAGTGTGCTTTGTTTTATTAGGCATTTCAGGATGCTCTGAGCTTGTGGGTTTCTCTGAGGTTGTGGCCTGTAGCTCTAAAGGCAAAAAAGAATTGATTCATTGCTGACACATGAGAAGGGTTGGTTTTGGCCTTGCTGCTGGCATTGAGAGCTAGGAGTTATTTGACACAAGTTGCTTAATGCCCATTACATTTATTTTTATATAACACCTTTCATGAAGGGCATCATAAAGTCATTTTTAGGGGTACCCACTCTAAATCTAAGGAAAGATAGCAACTTTATGTAGTTAGTGATGTCCCTGCTCACTGCAGGAGGTTGGGCTAGATGACCTCTAGGTCTCCTCCAACCCAAACCATTCTATGATTCTATGATTCTAAACTGAGAGCAAGATTTAAAGGCAAATGTAGAAGGTTTGGGTGACGGGATGATAAAGCAAAGAATTTTGAGAAACAGCAGATGGCCGTCCAAGAAATAAAATATGATCATGAGCAGGATGAGTGTAAGGGAGCGGAAAGCACACCCACAGCTGGGAAACCCAGACAATGAGGGTCTATGGGTACATACAAAAATCAGAAACTGCCATGAACAGTGGTAAAAATTGATGACACAGAAGGGGGTTTTACTCTTCTCTTTCAAGGAGTCTCTGCCTTTCAGACAGGGTTCTGCCTCCAGATGCGCTTACACTGAACATCTGAAAAAGGAGCTGCAGCAAATCAACTGGGGAAGTAACTAATGTACACCTTACAATGACAGAAGAGACAGGGCCAGGGTGGCAATGAATTCTGATAGCTTCTACAGGCACCATAAGAAAAACTTGTGGGAAAAGGAAGCGTAGGAAGAGAAAGAAAACCTGCAGGTTGAGGCAAGGCCAGGATTTTTGATCACTAAAAAAAATAAACTTAAAGACCAGAAACCAAATGAGATTCCAAAACAGAATTTCACAGGTGGCTCTATTAGTTATACACTGATCTCTAGCCTATATGCAGCCTTTTGTGTTTTTTTTTCTAAATTTGGATATTTGAAATCTGATATTCTAGTTGTGAGTCAGATAGGGTGTGAACTCAAGGATATCTCCTTAAGAAGGGAATAATGGACGATGAAATCTTGTGGTGCTGAGTGTAATGGTCATTACCACACAAGTATTTTTTCCCTATCTCATTCAAAGCTAAATGGATTCCAGAAATCAAGTCTTTCAGGTGCTTCTACAGGAGGCAGGGTGAAGTGCTCATTAACACAGTCAATGTAATAGTAAATGAGGGCTTTTGACAGATCTTCACAATATTGTCTGGTTCACTAACCCACTCTGGTCCGAGAACAATTCATCATGTCACCATTTTGGCTTCACTCTAGTTTTTTCTGGATTACAGTAGAGTATTTATTCCCTTTGCTGTCTTGTAACTTGGGGAACTTCTACTGGAATTCATCCCCGAATGATTTTCAAATACTCTTGTGGGGAAGAACTCTGCACAAGTACATCAAATCACTCTGTTAGCAACATCAAGCGATTTGCACTAAAAGATAGCCCAAACACAGTAGAAATTTCACCTTGAGGCAACTCTTTAGGCCATGTTAAGCTACCCAAGGGGTCCTTACGGTCTGGGATTTCAAATTTCAGATACAGAACTCTGATGAGAAGGTAGAAGAAAGGGAGCTGAAAATACGGCATAGTACAAAATTACAAGCTGCTGAGGCCAGAAGTGCAGCTGAGTGCTTTCTGCGTCACCGTGAAGGAGCAAAGCAAAAAAGCTGAGAACATTATTGACCTTGTTTCACTGCTAATGAGACGTGCAGAGATTCTGCAAGTGCAGGAATTTAAACAGTCCACTATTGATGCGCTCTTCCCAACAGTGAAAATAAAACTGTTTAGAACATACGGTACACTGTTCTGAAACGCACTGAGCTCGCCCTCAATACAATGGCTCATTCTTTCCATTTTCTTTAGCAATTAGTTTGAAATGAGAAGAGAGACTTGAAAATAATTAAAAAAAAAAGCCCTGGCCTCCTTATGTAATTAACAGATCTACGTACGACCTGATTCTCTGCTCTGCGATTCCAGCACTGCAACGCTTCGCACACTGCTCTGCTGCACCAGCTCCTGCTTTATGCAAGTTTGAACAAGAGTTGGCTCAGAAATGTCGAAGCGTCCATCTTTAGTAGCAAAGCATAATTCACTGTAAACATATGAACATTTGACCTATGCACGTGTGTAAGAGTAGAAGTGTCGAAGCTGGCTACAGAGCACAGCCAATTTACAGTGTGACACTTGTTCTCACAATCGCATTACTTTCATTAATCAAGCTGACTTGCTTTGGGCTACTTCAGATAATCTTTACACTATACTGCAAATATGACTGCTTCTACAATTTTCCCTTTCAATTAGAGGCATATACTGTATTATCTAACACATTTTACGTCTCTAACAGACGAGCTGTGATTCCTGCAGCACCAGCTTAACATGGTACCACAGAGAACTGCCAGCTTCTCCCCTTCTGCTGAAAGTCACTGTCCCTACAGCACAGCTGACAACAAGAGCCTGCACTTTAGCTGCTTCAACACAAAATCTGCTCACTTCTGCTGACAGCTGAATGTAAGCTGCCAGAAGGCAAGAAACAACTAGCTGAGTCCAGTAGTGCTTTCAACCACCACAAGAGTTTATTTGAATGAATGTGAATCAGAGAATTTACTTCCTTACTTGTAGGCTATGCACATTCAGAGAGACCTGTTTGTATGTATAATGTGTTTTTCTTCAATTTGCAGTTGACACCAAAGTGCTGACTGTTTGCTTTGCTACTGTTGCAACTGGGTATGAACAAAAATCACCTGCTATGCAGCTGTATAATACCATTTCTCCTCTGGTGATTTCGCCCTTTGAGGATATGCATACCCTCTCATGCTTATAAGATTCCTATGAGATACTGGAAGTAGCAGCATCCTTGTATTACAGATGAGAAAGACCAGAAGGACAATGGAGTGAAACAAATTATTCAAGGCTGCACAAAGCTTATATAAAGGAACCAGGATTTGAATCCTTGCACTACAGTGCATCATCATCTCTGTAGAACATCAGTACTGTGTGTTCTGGGAGTTTCAGAAACTATACATTAAGTGTTTGGAACATAACACTCTAACTCTCTGTATGCTACTGTTTACATAGCATGTAAGCAGAGTGCATTAAATGCACAGCTTACAATACATACTCAATACCGTCTCTTAATGAGATACTTACTTTTGTAAGAATTCATCAGACCCGCAAACACTTAGAAAGCATTCCTCCTGGACTGGGCATCGATTTGTGCAATGGAGGATCTCTGCAACTAAGTCATGAGTAATACAGCCAGCTGTAAATAAGGATAGCAAGAAAAATTAATGGTAGCTTGCTAGAGAATTCCAGGCTACACACTTGAGTAAAGAAAATAAGAATTTCTGTGTAATTCCTAACTACTGCTGCAGACTAGCTCCATCAAGAGGAATTAGATCAAGCCACACCTGACTTTTTTTTTTTTTTTTTAAACTTGGCTTCAAATGCTCTACGAGAAGTCACAGAATCTATGTCCATTTAGAGGAAATTAGCAATTTGTTAGGTAGCTGGAATGAAGAGCTGAGCAACTTTCCCAAGCAGAAAGGAAGAGACAAATGGAATTTATTTTTTTCATTTTCCTGATGAATATCTTGATACATTTCCCATGTGCGGACATGGCCTTATATAAAAGTTGACTCTATTGCTGCTCATGACACAATAAGGCTCCAGAATTTTACTTATTGTTTCTGCAATGCACACCTTTTTAGCCATAACCAACAAGTAAATGGATGGTCATATGCATTTTATATAAATATTACAGATTAAATATATTAGTGTTATGTAAAGTGACATTATAATGCATGTAAATTAAGAAGTGGTATGTCAGTTCATACAATCTGCTGTTCAGAAATACTCTAGGATTTTGAGAATTTTCTCCCATGCTACTTCAGCTTTTTAAGCCATTTTCTGACCCTGCCAACATGCCTCTTCTCTGTCCATTCTAGGACAACTGATAAAAAAAAAGGAAAAGAATAGCTGCATAATCTGGCAGTCAAACTGCAAACATGTCTGATAAGTTTGGTTTTACAGGCATGCAGGGCATACTCTACCAGCACTGATGCTTCAAGTCTGAGACATTTCTCTTCAGTGGAAAAAATAGCTGACTCTCCAGTGAAAAGTTTTTATATAAGGTACTGAGAAGGTTTTACAATGCAAAATGATATGGACTTCCTCCATAACCCTCAGGCAATCTCATTGTCTGTAACTGATAACAGAAAAGCCAAAGCAGATTTTCCTTTCAGTTTTTCGTTGATGGTATTTCTTTATTGCTTCAAAATTAGCGCCCATTAAGAGCTCTTACTACAAGTTTCAAGTGAACTTTTTGATACAAAAACTGAAAACTACCTACAGTTAAATACAAATCCCCAGAAACTAAACACTTGTGTGTTGACTAATTTACACTGCTCCAGGTTCAGACAACTGGTTCAAACTGAGCCTAACCAACCAGTTTCATTGGGTTTAATGGTGTTCTGAAGTGCCCAGAGCCGCCAATTCATACTGGCAAATCTGGTCCAGAGTTGCTACGCTATTATTTTAGAACAATCCTACAAATGCAAAAGTGTTTTTGCAGGGAAGTTTAAGGGAATGTGATACTGAAAAAAACTTCAGAGGACAGCTGATCATTTTTAGGGGTGGGGGCTGCAACAAAAACAAAGCTGAAATAAAAAAAGAGTTGATTACTATAGATAGCTTGGGTTTTGGTTTGGTTTGGTTTTCCCCAGGGAAAACCAAACATATAAATGGATTCAAAAGTTCCTCCTGAAAATTTTAATTTTCTTTGCAAAGCCATTTTTCTTTTGCTCAGAAAGCCACTTTGATTAAACATTTTCTACCAGTCGTACTAGTTGTACACCTAGCCCTTTGACAAATCACTATTTTAAGCAACTCCTCATAGCTGTTTTGAAGTGTAAAATGCAGTGCTTATTTGCACCAGAAAAGGCAGAATGGTAAAGAATCTTGAATTAAAATTGTAATGTGCACTTTTTCAGGTCACCCATAGCAAAAAAAACCTGAAACTTGACAATATCATTCATTTGCACTCCACAGATCCCTTTTCCTTTCTTTGCTCTGCGAAAGTTGCTGCATGAGTGAACAATTCTTTATGTTCTTTGTGTTAGACTGGGCAAAAAGTGTACTTTCTCCCTGCTTCCCCTCTTTGAATGTATGTTATTTTTTACTTAGCCTGTAAGCGAGTTTAGGATGGGGACTGTTTCTTATATCCCCTTCAGTTTTAGCTGGCCTTCTTAAAGCATTTTTGTAAATAAAGTTATGCAGACCAGAAATCAAACAGGCTGTAAGGTAAACAATGCTATATGATAAAATATTTGTCAGTAGTTCAGACTTCTGCATTACAGGGAACCCCTGCCTAGCTGACAGAAGTGCTGGAAATTACCTTCTGGTAATTATCTTCTGGTCCAAGTGTCCAGAGATCTTTGTACCTTCATTTCATGGAATCCACAAAATACTGATTCAAGACGATTCAACCTACTACTTTGCCAGGCTTTCCAATAAATATGTAGATGCTCCCGATACAACTAACCAAACATGTATGAATAAATGCGGAAGTCTTGGCTACTGTATTTATGAAGATATATTTTTTAATATATGTTGACTGAAATTCTGTAGAGCTTTGGCTTTCCAGCTTTCAACCCATCAAACAAACCAATACTCAGTCTGTTACAGCCACATAAATTCCTTGACAACTGAAGAAAAGATTCACAAAAAAAGTCTATCACTTAATGAAGCAGAATTCTATCACTTAATGAAGCAGCACAGGATGAGAGAGGGGAAAATTTTATTTTAAATGTATTTCATTATTGCTTATGTGTCTTAAGAGGTAAAAATTACCAGAGTTGGAATCAAATATTCTTCCATTCACCACAGATGCAGGATGCGCTGGAGCAGTGGCAGCTTCCCATAATCACCCATGACAGAATAATTCAGGTTGGGAAGGATTTCAGTAGCTCCATCTACATCCAGCCTCCTCCCCAAAGGAGGGTCAGCACTGAATTCAGATCAGCTTGTTCAGGGTTTTGTCCTGGAAGATCTTAATGACCTCCAAGGACGGAGACTTCACAACCTCCTCTGTGGGCAAACTGTTCCAATTCTTAATTATTCTCCTTTTTCCTTATACCCAGTTGGAATTTCTCCTTTTTCACTTATGACCCACATGTACTTTGCCTGACCTGTACATAACCTTAGGTGCAGAGGAGTCTTAGTGACTCTGCAGACTCTTAAGTCTTGGCTTCAGAAACAGAGTCAAGGCTGTGAAAAGTTCCACAACTATATGGGGATTACCCCTACACTTTAAATTAGGCACAAACTTAAATTCCTTCTGAATCAAAGTCTGAATGTTGGTCCATTTTAAGACGGCCAGAATTGGTTCCAATTGTGACTAAAGAAAGCAGAGATCCACACATTAGCAAAGTTTAATATTTAATGTGATTTTAATTTTACAGCAAATATGCTGAACATGTTTGACAAAGTATGCACTCACGTAAGCCTTGCTCTCCAACTGTCTTTCCAGATAACAAATGCATTTTATTATTATCTCCATGGAATTGAATTGTGGAAGGATACGGACACCTCAATCACTTACCATGTTGTGTAAGAAGCAGAGGATGTGGTGAAGAGTCTGTCCAAACACTGATTCTGAGCTTTGATTCACCAAGGATATGATCTGGGAACCTTGTTGCGACACTCCAGATTTTCCCAGTGTTTGTCTTCAAGTCAAAAGCAGGATAGGCATTTCTTAATCTGAAAAGAACATGTGATTAAATTATGTCTACATATGTATGCATTTCAGCTCTCTTATAAGAACAAAGCAAAAATTCTGCAAGGTATCTATAATAATAATACATAGAGACCTGTTAGGAATAAAATTTTATGCAAACAGAGGGGAAAATGGTAGCAACTCAAGCTTTGTTTTCATGCATTAGTGAGATAACTACATATCAGACAGCACACATATAACTATATCTTTTACTTAATAGGAAAACCATCAGTAAAATATTCATAAACGTCACAGAGTCATGGCTGAGCTTGACCTCAGTGAAGCCAAAAGCAGTTTAGACACAGACTTCAGTGTACACTCAGTACAGTAGAAACGAGGGTGCCATAATATGTGCTTAAATAACATAGTTTTAACATAAAACTAATAGGAGCATGTGCACAGACAGCTGCAACTAGGACAGCTGGTCAAGATGAACACAGGAACATGCTTTCCATGCAAAATCTTAAAAAGTCCCTATTTTCACAGTGCTCTCGAATCCAATCTGATATCCTTGTTACTAAAACCCTGGGTATTTATGTAAATGTCTGTAGAGAGCAATAACTGTTACAGTCATTGAGTCCCTGTGATATACCATTACCTATGAAATATATTGCCCCTCCTCCTTTCAATTACCAAAGACTTGCAGAAACTAATTCCTCCTGAGGTACCATTTCCTAATGAACACTGGTCACAGGTATTACGTCTGTCAGCTGAGATTAAACTTGCTTTTTAAGCAAATACACTTTGCAGCTGCAGGTAAGGGTACATATTGTACCAGCTGAAGCTTTACATTTCACTAATTGGCCTGAATATTTTAGCAGCTAAACTCAAATATCCTGTACTAAGCATACTGCATTCTTTTTTGTTTGTTAGTTCAAGAAGCATTTTTGTAGCTTCTGAGCTGGCAGCGCTTTACAGTGTATTTTGAGCCATAGTTCTCTCACATAAATTTCTTCATTACTATGTTACCTCCCGCCTCAGGGCTGCCACCCAAGTCTCTTAAACAACAGTATGAACTACTCTTTTATGCCATGTATTTCTATAGCATGAGAAGGAAAAAAATCTAGGTTTCCAAAATTAATAATCCAATGAAGCAGCCCATTTCTTATAATGAAAAGCCAGGGGGCATGAAGTTTCAGTGGGGTAGGAGAAAATGAGGCTTGACAATACCTCCAGTACAAGATAGATTTATACTTATAGTAAAAAAAACATTATACTACAGAGGCTGCTTTGGTGACCTATGTAGTTGATGTCAGTATATTTTCTTTCTGAGCAAGGTACACATAAAGCTTTCCCCTATCACCAAATCCACTCTTGTGACCTGTTTCTGTAAGAAGTCCAAGGACTGAGTAAGACTGGAAACTTCACTATCCTTTCTCCAGCATCAAATTAATGGGCTATGTAGACAGACGGGACACGAATCACTTCCTCAACTTACTGGCAGCCATTTCAAAGCTAAGAAAACCTCATCGCCTATATTTTAGGATAATGTCGGGATAGAAATTTGCTGTTTATGATTTTCAGATGAAAATGCATTCAGTTCCAGAAAGTGTTGCTCATTTATGGCCATCTATTGATTTCAAGTGATAAGGGGCTTCTGGCCTGAGCCAGTGGGCAAAACAGGCCCACTGCAAAATTTGAAAGGTTAGGTCTTCCAAGGCACAACTGAAGTACCACAGAAGCATTACATGAAGAAAATCTTGTGCTACTTGTCTTCTGTGCCGCAACAACTCAGCATATGCAGAAAGTACTACCATTTCTAGGGGTTTGCTATTTCACAGCATTTCATTATGCTATGTATTTCTCTGTGATGCAGAGCACATCCTTGAAGTCAGTAGGAGGTAGAGGAACTCTGCATTTTGAAGCACTGAACTCTGAGACTATCAGCTTGGCATCTTCTGGTATCAAACTTGCTTTAAGATGTACTCTGAAGCCACCCGTGGATGAACATTCTCTATAGCTATGGCCATAATTGTAAAAGTAACCTGATACAGGGACTTTGAAAACTGCTTTACAGTTGTATACAATGAAATGTTTCAATTATAGATTGCTACCTGTACAAATATTACCTAGAGAAAAACATGATGGGTTTCTATTTGAGCTACATGCTGGAGGTGCAAGTCTGCATGACATAGAGTTTGAATTATACGTCTTACCTCTGATGTATAAAACTGCCAGTTACCGAGATTCATTGGGGACTAGAAGGATTCCCATTTGGCAAGACTGAATATGTTAGTTATTTGCAAATTGATGACATTTTTGGTCTTTTGTTTGCTATGACATTTAGTCCTAAGAATGTTTTCCCATTTATTTGATAAAAAAAAAGCAAAGGTTGCTCTTATTTTCTTTTTAAGAGTATTTGCTAGTGATGTACATTAAACAAGTTACTGCACAACAGGAATGGCTTAATTCTATTAATCCTTTTAGCCCTGTAAATAAACTCATTTATTCACAAAAAAAAAAAAAAAATCAATAGAAAGCTTTTCCTATAATTAGAGTGCAAAGTTAAATGTAGAATGTTTGGACATTAAAAAAATCTGAATATCTGAGAGGAAAGCCTGTTGTGGAATGTGCCTTCATGCATCTGATGTCAGTAGAATTGGGTTGGGGTTCAGACTGATGAACTGTGGAAAAAAGAAAACTGAGATGCATATGAATGAATAGGTTTTGAAGCTGAACATCTACTCTGTATGAATATATAATATATTCACTTTTAATTTTAGGGCAACATCAAACTGGATTTTTTTTTTTTTTTCTTTTAAGAGAAGCAGGCTTGGCTGACCTTGAATACAGTAAATTCATTAAAGTCTAATTAAAAAAAAAAAAAGCAGCATTCCATTTTCCAACTACTTTTCTGGGGGAAAAAGCATGCATTTGTGCTAACAACTTGATAGTCTGATCAGTGAATATCTACAAGGGAAAACAAATCTGCACAGATGGTCTAAAAACTTGTATTTCTTAGTGCTCTTGGATTTCAACACAATTTCTTTTTCCAAAGAAGATTAAGAAAGTAAAAAAAAGTTCTATTCCACTAAGCCACGCTACTAACTGTAATGGTAAACAAAAATTAGGAGTAGTTTTTGTCGCTTGCTAAGTCTCACTTTTCCTCATGACAGTACACAGTCATTCTGTTCTCAGTCACTCAGTTTCTCCAATTCTTTTTTCCTGCTCCAAGCTACACAGGCATTAATATTGTCCAAGACAATGGCAGAAAATGGATCTTAAGTTTCACGCACTATAAACCGTCAACGCTAAAGAGTTAAATGTACTTGTCGCTGATAAAGGGGACAGCTAAGGGAGAAAATATTTTGGGAATCAACATTCCTTTGTGGATTTTAATCTTTAAACCAAAATTAGGAATGTTTCCATATTTAAGTAGATATGGGACTTATGGCACTGTTCAGGAATGCAGGGATAACCAAACCAATTAATATAAATGAGTCAAATGTCATAGTTGGCTGAATAATTTTTTTTTTCATTACTTACTCCTCCACTGCATTGCAAAAAGCAACTGTGTTTTCATTACTTCCTTGATTTGCTTCAACCAGCTGGATAGACCAACCTGTAGCCTAAAAATAACAAAATGACACCAGAAGAAACAGAGCTCAGTTATTTAGATAACAGAAGCAGAAGGAGCATAAGGCTAACCTTGCATTTGTTTCCACAAGAACTAACTTTCATACCTTATCATCTCTCCCCTGACTTGATGGAGCTCCAAATAAGCACAAATAACCCCATTTTGACTGCACTCTAAATGCTTTCAGAGAAAAAACACAAACTCACAAAACATCAGCTGCCCTGGGTTTAACAATTATTTTTTTCCCCCTCTGTGCAGAATACAAGGAATTCCAGACAAAGCTTTCAAAATTCACTTAGTGTCAGAGCACAGATAACTCTAAATGAAGAAGATACATGCTTAGTTTACAAAAGGGAGAAGTGACAAAATGAAGCTTATGCTGCAGTGATTTTTAATCCTTATTTTCTCTTTGTGCCTTGGAAGGAAGTTCAGGATCCCTTCAAATTCAAACCTGTCAAGTAAGTCCCTAAGACAGATAACAGGAAGCTGGTATATTCTGTTGAACATGAAAAATCCCCAGATACTTCCTCTAAACTTGGAGAAGACGGGTCTGAGCCACTATTTTGGGTCAAAGCACCCCCTTGTCTGTTTGCCACAGTACCCTTCAGTCAGAACATGACCTCCAGGAAAGAGCTTAATACTATTATATCTGCAAGCCCATTCTACAGCTGTACATAGAGACACGTACAAGGCTTAGCTGAGACACCAACTTTTAAACCACTTCAGAAAGAGAAGCAATTAATGACTTGTCACAGAAGAGGAAACTGAGATATAGCAAAAGGTGTATTTTATCATTTTAATAATAATTTAAATACAAGTATGTAAAATTATAAAAATTTAAATTTAAATTTAAAATAAATAAGAAACCCAATTTAGGATTTTTTTTCTGGACAAAGTGCAACATGCATGAAAAGATGCAGGCTGGGAAAGTTTAGTTACAGTTTAAAAGATGGGATGACTGTAAAAGATGAAAGATCTGTTGGGAACTGGCTAGTGGGGAGATCACAATGGCAGCACTGAAAGCATAGAAGTTACGAACATTTTATAGATAACCATCAGTCTTGGGTCTCATTGTACATAGTATTTTCATTAACTAAAATAGCACAAGCATTAGGAGAGTGCTTATGAATTTAAAGATAATAAGGGGCATCATCAATTGAGGGAAAAATTAAAATGTCTGGTAGGAAAAATAATGGATAACCCTGAAGCTTGCAATAAGAGAGAGAGAGAAATTAAATTTGGCTATACAAATTAGTAGCCCATCATCCTGATTCTAAAGACTGCTGAAAAAGCTCCTTCAAAAGTCACTGAACACATAGCACTGGATCATAGAATCATAGAATCATAGAATGTTTTGGGTTGGAAGGGACCACTAGAGGTCATCGAGTCCAACCCCCCTGCAGTCAGCAGGGACACCGCCAACTGGATCATTTTTTTCCACCTTGGTTAGACACCTACCTTACAATTTACCGCAGCAGACAGTAATAAGAACTTCCGGTGGAGGTTCACTATTTAGAAATGATGAACAATTTGGTAACAGTAATGGCCTCCCAAAATTATGCAGTCATAAACCCCCCCGCCCCATAACACAAACAAAAAAAACAACAACCAAAAAAACCCATTTCTGATCATACATCAGGGTAGGCAGTTTTACAAAAAGATATATTGACAAGGCCCTAGGAAGCTTGCATCTGGGATGTTGTGTATCCCTACATTCCAAATGGAGGAATTCAAGCTGGAACAAGCTCAGAGAGACATCGCTGTGTTTGTGGGTGAGCTCCGCAGCACAGCTCACAGAGCACAGCAGCCAGATAAAGCTACAGCAGTCATTGAAGCAGGGGTGCAAAGGGAGCCCAGAACCTGCACTGCAGGCTATACAGGGATGGTGGTGACATGCCACATGGCACAATCTTCATCATGGGGGGCAGAGACTGCCCCTGTGGATAACAGAGATGTCGACACACACAGAGCTCCACAGTAAGGATGCTACAGCCCAGGTCTCTGGCTGCAGGACTTGTCTGGTGCCTCTGGTGTCCTGCAGCTGGGGAAAGCAGTGGCCTCGCTGGTGGGAGCTGTGCTCTGGCTGCGCTGCCAAGCTGCTGGTGAAGAAGCTGTAGGAGAAGGTGAGCAGCCAGGAGGAACAGAAGATTGACAGGGACTCTACAGAGCTAAGGACCACCCAAGCCCTGTGCTGCAAAGTAGGGACAACTTAAGACTACACTACAGGAGCAGTGGATGGAGACTCCCACAGGAGGGAAGGCTGGAAACCTGCTGCTTCCAGCAACACAAAAAGGCTTCTTTTCCACCTGCAGTTCTGCCATTACAGAGCAAGTACAGTGCCATGGAAAAAGAGAGACAGTAGATAAATGAAAGGCTAAGAAAACTAGGCCACAGATAAGAACAGGTGAGGCTGGGATACAAGACTGAATGGGACTGAAGATATTAAAAGAGCAAAACCGCATTTGGGAACTGAGGAACGAAGAACAGAGAGGAATTAAGCAAGGAGAGGGCCAAGACTGGGAAAGGACAATTGGCTACGAGTACATGTGTATGGATCCTCAAGTTCATGGCTTAAAGAAGAATGTGATTAAATAATTACTAAAGGATGGCAAAAAAGAGCTTGACAGACAACGCTGGAATCCAAACCCTCTCTTGCAGGAGACAGAAGTAACACAGGAGCCCTCTGCCTCTCTGCACCTTTGCTGGCAGCATTTCTGAGTGAATCCTAATGGCAAACATGCATCCTGTGTAGATTAGGCTAGTAACAGCCTACACAGAAGAAATTAATATACCATTGCTAATTAACTCAAATTAGTTCTGGTGGCAGAGGTGTACGTAGCAGATATATAGTTCCAAGTCCATTGGTGAATCACGTGAATGAGAGACCTAGTTTTGTCATTTCTGTTTTCAGGTGTCCAGAAACTTTAATTTCTTTCCATTGCATACAAAGGTAAGATATTAAATACATGATCACACTTTATTTTTCTATAGGACTCCAGTCTCCACTCATTGCAAATATCTCAAAGCGTGCAGTGAATGAGACAGAGAATTGCATACGGAGAGAACTGATGACAACAGGAATAAAGTAACAGAGCGCATCCCTGGACAACTGGAATCTATCTTTTCCCATGCACAGATTTCTCACATTATGCTAATCAAGTCACCTGAACCATCCTTCCCAAATATGAACACTAACTGTGTATTTCTCATTTCTGAAGCACCCAAACCAAAATAATGAAGTTTGGTCTGATGATTGGCCTTGGGTGAAGAAGTGAGCCTTGCTTGTTATTCTGAAAACACTAGATCCTAAATATCATAGATGGAGCAGCCAAATCTATTGGATACTTTTTAGGTTGTATTTCAGTTTTCTTTCTAATGTGGAGAAAATAAAACCTTTTTTTACGGGGACTTTATGAAGACAGTTTCTTCAGTATTTTTGAACATCTGACTCTGTGATGACAAGGCCAGATAAAATGAATGTTTCCTCTATTACACTAGGCATATTTTGATTAGCATGCATTAAATAAAGCCTAGGGCCATACAACTGCATCCAAGAGCTAAGGATCAGAATGACAACATAATTTCATCAATGTGAATATTTCATCTTGCATACCTCTGACATCTCAATGCTAATCTTCACATTGCAGCTTCCTTTCCATTTCACTCTGTCTGCAGTCCTAGTGTTTGTCTCCTACTACTCAGACGCATTGTCTACTCATCCTGGACTTCACCAAACCTATCTGTGCTCGCTCTCTTTCTTTTGCTGTGGTGCTCCACTTTTCCAACCATTCTGACAGTCTTACGCAGCATTAGCCCTGTCACCCCATAGCCCTTCTTATCTTTTTCAAACCTGCCAGCCCAGTAGCAATGAGTTACTTTTTCACAGGCTTTTTTTACCCTTTCCCCCCCTCAACATTCTTTCATTGTTATTTTCCCTTTCTTACCACCTCAAGGTTCAGTTGCCAGCCCCTTAGCCTTGGCTCTCTTTCTATCCTGACATGGCTGTTTCTCCCTGAAGGAATTCCTGTGACCACACTGATTTTTCTGGTACAAATCAATTCCCTCCTCTCTTCCATTTCTTCCTCTTCTAGCTAAACAGCTCGAATACTTTCCTGACTTAATCAAATCCTCCCACACATTTGATTGTAGTTGCCCTTGACTCACTCATCTCTTCTCTTCCCTCCCCTATAATTCTCTCCTCCTCTGTCACAGAAGCGTTTGTGCCTGTTCTTATATGCCTGCTTCCTCTAGCACCTCTTCTTCCCATACCACAATTTAATTTCCTCCTGCTCGTTTGTATATCACTATTTTCTACTTTTCTCATGAGAAGGCTTGGTCTTTTCATCGTGATGTCAGCATGCTCTTGTTTTCTTATCATAAGTAAAAAGCAACAACAACCTCTTGTCCCTCCACCTATTCATACCCTCCTCTCTTGTATTCATCACTGAACTTCCAAAATGTGGTGCCCAGGATTAGTCTTAAGAGTTCCTATCCTCAAATATATTCCGCTCTCCCCCTCCTCCATCTGTCTGGGTCTGCATATGTTTACTTCTATAGTTCTCCCTATTCACAGACATAGAAACAAGTCAGTGAAGTGTCTCTTCCCCTTTGCTTTATGATACTGTGATCACTCGGAATTAAAAGCAGAAGGTGAACCTAAACTGTCTTTTAATATTCATGGTGCAGAGGTATCCTGTAGGCTATTTCAGGATTCCTATAATGATTCAGAATGCTAACAAGGACTAGAGGAAAGGGAGGATTTATCATGTTCTTTTTCCTTCTCTACGTCAGAATTTTGAAAGAAGGAAAACGAGGAGACATATAACATCAGAGAGAGCCATGGGAGTCCCATAAGACATCATTATTAAAAACAGCAAAGTCACAAATGGAGCTATGAACACCTGATGGAAGGAGAAAAAAAAAAAAAAGTATTTGTTTCAAAAAGACAGCTAAAGACAGAGTAATAATAAAGACGTCACAGTAATAAGTCTCACAGTTGCTTTTGGCCAGCTGAATCATAAGACACATGACAAAAACTCTCTACAGGAGCAAAAGCTTTTGCTTCCCCCAAGGTGTAAATGTTTTCTGTTTCATCAGGTCTTTAAATCAAGTGTTTGTAATCCATGTTGCATCAGTGTGAGTGAATACACAAAGTGAAGGTCACAAACAAGAATAAAGAACTTTAAGCACTGTTAATATGAGAAAATTTAAATACCTCTCTGTCATGCCCAGAGCTGCTGGGCCAGGTAGGTCCTATGCCGAAACTTCTGGAAGTGTTGGTTAAACAAGCTTCTCCATTTCCACTTTCACCTCTCACTTCTTGCCCAAATGCATAGTTGTCTAAGAAAACAGGACAATGAGCACCTACATTGTCAAAGCCTATCTGAAAACTCAGATTAGTATTGCCTCTTTCCACATTTGAATCAAACACATTTGTGACTGGAGTTATACTATTCCCTCCATGGATTTCTCTCTCTTGACTGTAGGGGTAGGGATCCACCAGAGAGAAGTTTCTGTAACCGGGTAGTAAAGAAGATCTAAAGCCAACCGTTGGTGACACTGTGCCTTGTTGCCATTGAGAGATAGGATTTCCAGAGTAAAGTTCACCATAAGCAACTAAAGGCTGACCACAAAACTGCTGGTCAGGCACATTTAGACCAAAGACATCTGATGGGAAAAAAATTTCTTCGTGATGATGTGAATGTGATGAACCATAAAAAAAAAATTCATTGCTGACTTCATCAGCTATTCGATCGAATCCTAGACGAACCTCTCCAGCAGAACCAGAATGGTACACTGGGTAAGATGCTTGGTCCCCAGCCTGTCCTTCATGAAATGCATTGTGTGAGAAAGGCACCATCCCAAAGTACGCCATGGCTGATTCTTCTCTTCAGTCTTATTAATCCTCAGGGAAGTCTTACAATAATTCCAAGGTCAAGATGGTAATGTTCAGAACTGGAGCTACATAGCCACTGAAAGCAAGCACAGAATAAAAGTTAAACCCCAAATATCTAATATAATGAAAGCAGTATACTTCTTTAGCCTTTTTTTGCTTTAGAGCTTTCTCCACAGGGTGGAAATATTTTCTTAATCTGGAGCTTGAATATTCTTTTGCCTGCTCCTTATTTCCAGACATATTTATTATACTATTACTATTAGTATTACCCCAGACTCGTAAATAATAGCAACAGGATGACTGAAACAACAGATCTGAATACTAATTCTGACAAATATTAAAGAAAATCTCTGTATTATTTCCATTATTTTACATCTGCATAGCCCACTTAATGCAGAATCTAAAACAAGCAGGTAGGAAAGCTTTCTATCAATGGTCACTTTAACAGCAGTTTCATTCACATCTTCCTCTTTTTTTGTGCCTCAAATTTCTTCATATTCTACCACTTTTTATCTTAGTGTAATCAGGTAAAGAAAAGTTAAGTCAAAGTGCAAGAAGACATGGATGTCCAATTAATATTCAAAACGCTATACCCCAAAACCTGAGATATGGCATATATAAAGGAAAACAAATATAAATAAATAAATTTCAGCCTTTTTTGTTTCTTTGTTTTTCAAAACAGATGAAATTTCAAAGTCTGAGGTTCCAACTCTTTTTTGTAAATTAACAGGCAAGGGCATGAACTTCTGCAGAAGCTCACCATCATTCATGCTGTTACTAGCAAACTTCCTAATATGATTTTGGCATGTACCAAATAGCCCTATGGTTTAGATGGGCTGCATGTACTGGAGACTGCTGTCAGTTGGCATGATGGTATCTTTTTTTAGGAAGAGAGCTTAGTTCTAAAATCAAAATCTGTTCTGGGCCACTTGCCCTCAAGGCCTTGGCCTGTTTCATTTACTAATACAGATGTACCCTAAAAACACAAATGATACGGAATAGCAATACCACATAAAGAACATAGTTCTGCCGGGTACTTTATCACATAAAAAAATAGAAATATTTGATTTAATATTCCAAGAAAAAATGTATTCCCTAGCAAGGAAAAAAAACCACAAAACCTTACCAAGATGAAAAGTGTGCTCAGAAATTGCTAAAGTTTAGCTCCACAAATAGCTTTTCCAATACGTCCCCAAGATCTAGAATGTATTAGCTTAGATAATAGCACCTTGCAATGAAAATCCATATTACAACAGAAGGTATTAATCACAACTTTATTTATTTTTGTTTTATTTGAAATCAAACTCTAGGTGACATAGGCTCCTGTCACCCACAGTGAGGAATGAGAAGAGAAATGAAAAGTTAAATAGGCTGAAATGAAATCTCCAAGTTGGAGGCTGAGCTATTCTTTCAAGCACTCAACTTAGTGATTCCATGTGTTGTATGCTTTGGTTTGCTTTAACTGTGCTGGGAAAAAAAAAAAAAAAAAGCATTTATGAAGTACCCTAAGCCAGATAACCAAAACGATGCATACCACTTTGAACAGTGATCTGAGCATGAACTTCAGTTACAGTCTCTGCACCTTTCTTTCAGAGTGAATCCTGAAGTTCACTATGTTTTTAGATCGACACACTTTTTTTGCAAAAAAAACCCTAATAAGCATAGTAATAAGATTTTTTTTTGAGTTGTCCTCATTTACAACATCCTCTGTTTCTCATTTCTACAGCAGGTGAATAAAAGAAGAACAAGAAAGAAAAGGATATATCCATTAAATCAGGAAAGATAACTTCCCCCCCCCCCCTTCCTGAAAATTGGAATGTTTCAGGAAAAATAAAAGGTAAAAGAAGGTTATCTCCCTCCAGACCCACCTTCCTTAATAAAGTTTGGCTACCTGGAAGACTATAAGAGAGGCACAGAAAACACAATACCTTTTATACCCTTTCAACTGCTTCTAAAATACTTTCTTTACATTTCAAACAAATTCTGTTTATAATGAGATGTAAATGCGTAAAAGCTAACTCTGCTTATTCACCAGTAAGGCTTTTATGTGTAACATCCCACATTTCTCCAACAGACAAATATTCACACGTACAGAGCGCCCACCTCCATCTATCTGTATATGAATGCTTACATCCTGCTGTTCTCTTCTGAACGCTACTCTCCATACTGTCCAGGGGAAATACTGCTTTCCTAGTGGTCTTTAAAAGCAGGCAATTTAAGCCATAGTGCCAAAAGCCGGTCTGTACATTCTGCTCCCCTGGGCAGGGAAGGCCACGTGAGTACCAAGAAGTCTGCACGATGCAGCGGGCTCTCTCTCCCAGCCCAGACCACGGCAGAGGGAGAGCCTGGCAGGGAGCAGAGACTTATACAGCACTGGAACACCATGCCTCTTTTACATAGACCTGCATTTAAAACTAACCATTTAGGCTGGAAGCTCAGCACGTCATGCTGTAAATCTCAGTGGTTTAAGTATTACCTGCTAGTTCAGCTAGGCTCTGTATTTTGGCCAACTCCTGATCCTTTTCAAAGCAGCATACAAAAGTTCAGGAAAGGATTTGGCTCTTTGCCAGCCACTATTGTGCAAAGTGCATTGATAACAGTGAATTTTCAAAAAATCACCAGTGAGGCAAAATTTATAATGCATTTTATTAAAAAAGGTATGGTTTTAGTTTCATTTTTTTTGCCTTGTGGTTTCTGAATTCACATTTTGGAGGGTTTGGCTTTGTTCCTCCTGCAGCTATGAAGCCCTTCTTTTCCTTTTAAATGACAGCTGTGTTTTCACATAATCATGTGGTTCTTGGTTTTAAGGGAGAATCCCAACAGATACTGTAAAATATTCACTACAAATCAAGAGATTTGACAGCATCACCCAATACTCACAACATTGTAGCTGCCGTCCAAGCACACGAAAATACTTTCTGTACTTCAGCATGCACGTGCATTCTAATATAAAAGCTTGGTGCACTGTGGGCTCAATTTCCCCTTTTTACCGGAACCGAGGAAGAGACGATTGGGCCACTTGCTAAGCAGTACGAATATTCGTTGCAACCTCTTACCTGTGACACACAATTTGTTAGAAGAATATACAGCCTCCTATGTCTTCCTGTTCACAGGCACATTCAGATGACCTACATGCCTTCAGTATCAAGAGGGTGTAACTTTTTCAGCAGAAGCTTTCCTTCCTGTTTAACCGGTTTACTACGGTAATGATCCTTTCCCACGTCGTCCTTCAGGGAAATTTCAAACAGCAGTAACAATAAAAATGTAACACCTTATCTGTTCTCTTTCTCAATTGGGGAACCCAACCTTTTTTTTTTTTTTTTTTTTTTTAACATGGTGGTAGATGATTTCACACTTTCAGTACAAGTATCAAACATGCTTAAAATAACAAGACACCTTCTCCAAAGGAAAGACTTGCCTCTTAGAAAGACTTCTGCACAAGAACAGGATTCAGAAATTTTACTCTACTCCATTTTTGTGCAGTTTCCATCTATCTGCGCTGGTGGTGCATGCTCTGAAAGGAGCTCCTAGCTCTGCTCACAGGAGAAGGGGATGGTACAAATCTTGCATGGCAGAGAGGCCCTCTGGCTTTGGCTCCTCAGTGTGCAGAGCTGGGACATTCTAATGGGGGAAGAGCCTCCCTCATGCTGGGATATTTCCCAAAGACCAGTGAAGCCTTGCCCCTCTGCAAAGGGCTGGCTGAAGAGCTGGAGTAAACAGCACCGGTCACAAACATCTTCTTAGACCTCAAGGAGCCCAGTAGCCTCCATAAAAGGGAGCAGCTGAGGCTGCTCCATGGACTACGCAGAGGGAGTTCCCTCAGGGACCATCTGCCTCCACGCTTCATACCATTCCTTAAAAAGCTATAGATTGCTCCACTGAAGTGGCTATTCAGAATTCACATAAAATCCCAATCCTAGTCTACCCCAAGGTTGTTAACAGGCAGCAAAATATCCTCAGAAATAGCGAGGGAGTCAGTATCAACAAAACAATATTTGTTATAAAAAGCTATGCAGTAAGACTGAACAGATTAGGATAAAGCATTTAAAGTTAATAATTAATCTCAGGTATCTTATATCTGATAAACTGAATGAAGTAATGATTTGATAAAGCATTACAGGAAAATTCTGCCCTTCAAAGCATAGTAAAAAGCTGTCAATGATGTCATTGTGATTTAAAAGCAGTTAGACAAGGACAAAAATTATTTCAGGTGGTGAAAGGTGATGCATTTTTTTCTCATACACTCTCCAACCCTTAAAACGTCCACTTGCTCCACAAACTATTTGGTGGCATTTGTGCTGCACTGTAGTCATGACAGTGATTACTGTGAAGCAATCCTGAGAGAGAACATATCAATTTTAGGAGCTGCCATTTCAGAGTTTATGGCAGTGTGATGTTGCTTCATCCCACAGTGATTGGAAACAGTAAAAGGAGGAGGATCGAGAAAACAAGAGGAAATATGCATGGGAAGACTTCATCTTCCCAAGCAAACACAGGCGGCTAGATGCGTAACCTGCCCCCCTCTCTCCTTACAGTGATTGCCAGGAGAAGTTTATGAAGGTTTGCCTTGGGAAACTCTGAACATTTTCAGGATTTTATTAGGCTTTTAAGGTGGCCACTGGTTTTCTGTTTCCCATCGAAGTAGCAGACAGGAAACTGCTGAGTCACTTTCTAACCTGATTTCTCCTAGAACTACCAAGAATTGTCTCCTCCTCTTTTGCTGGCATGTGGGACAAAATCTCTAGAGACAAAGAAAACAGGATATTCCCTGGGACACCTCCTTTCCTTCTGTTAGACACTCTCGCTGCTCCACCAACTGGCAGGAGCCTACATCTCACTCACAGTAAAGAAGAATCGTATATTTGATTTAGCCCTGTGTGAGTGTGCGTGTACGACCTAGGTCTGATAAAAAGCTGCGGGTAAAGAGCTGGAAAAATAGTCGCTCTAACACACCCCAAAGATGAAATACAGCATTTTCA